TTATTATAAAATGCTCCCTATTCAACCTGTTTGAAAAGAAAAACAGACAAATATAATTTATTTGTATATGAGTGGCACAGAGAAGACAAGTACGCTACAGATAAGTAACACAGCAAATCCTTTTCCACAAACCACGTGTTTAAAATAACATGTTTTCTTTTAAAGTATACACTTGTTAGACTAGTGAATATTCAAGAAGCCTTCATTTATACACCATTTTATTTCTGTGTCATTAGCCAAAAGAGAGCATAAAAGCAAACTCAGCTAAAATAGAGCCAATCTCTTCTTCCACTCCACTTTGCCTATAAGCTCCTCTGTGTGTTCTGCTGTTTGAAATTTAATTCTGTTAAACGCCCCAACAAAACATAAAGTCTACCTCCTTGATCTGACAGAAACAGAAACAAAGCTTCTCACTTCCCTTAAAAGACAAAAAATAGACCTGAGGATGAAATTAATGCAAATAGGACTACAAATAACTACTTTTTTTTCAAATATACAAAAATGCCCTTTACTAAGTTTAGTAGGTGAAGTCTGAGTAGTTTAAAAAAACCAAGAATGTATTTTTTAAAATAAATAATACTGTCAGTATTTACAATACTAATTACTATTGCATTCCAATAAAGACTTCAGTTTAAAAAACATACTAAACTAAAATGTGTCTATATAAAACAGAAAATGCAAAAAACCTGAAATGTTACATTACTGTAACATATTACTGTACCCCTTTTTCATAAAAGTTTGTAAATCACAGTTTAACCCATGACTCTCAATTTCTTGAATTATGTCATGTACAAACAGACCATAATAGCAGGTCAAGGAAACCAGATCTATAATCTAGAAAGAAGTTAGAATCAAAAAAGAGATTTATATTTTATGTATCTGATCTTTTGCACAGCAAGATTGTGGAAAATTTCTTTAAGATATGTCTTGTTCTGTACAGAATTAAGCCACAATAATGATAGAGAAGTACAAAAGAATAAATTATAATGTAATTGAAATGAAATGTTAAATACCTCAGAATCTCCATGTCCTCACTTTCACAAGATACAACAGTATTTAAAGATTTTACTTCTATTAAATTTAATTAACTTATAAAGTCCATTGCCAAAATATTTTGAGGTAGTCGAAGGAAATGCAGAATATCAAAACATACACATTTTTACATTTATCTGGATAATGATTTACATTTCAAAAAATATACAAATATTTCACAAGTCATATACCAATACAGACTGATTAAGGACTCAGTCTCATATAGAGAGCACTGTGCTGTGTTATTTTGGAACTTCTGGTATAGATCACTAGCATGGAAATAAAAAAGATTGACCTCATGACAAAAAAATCAGTCACAAAACAAGCCCAGAGTTCACTTCCACATGCTGAATTCCTGCACAGCAACGTTAAAGCCTCTTCTCCTCCCTGCATTCTCGTTTCACCTCCCCCAAAAGAAATGCAGTGGCAGTTTTCTACCTTGTAGGAATTACTAGCAGGTAAATGAAGTCATTGTCCATAAGAAAACTAGCCAGACTGCCTTTGTCTGGTGTGGCAGTTTCTGTACGAGATAAAAAACACATACAAATCTTAAATATTAATCTTCTTAAGGTCAGGATTCTTTAATTTTTGTTCCTCTTCACTATAACCCATGTTATTTACATTTCTTTCCTTTTATGATAGTTATAAACAAATGTGAAAAACCATGTCAGTGCTTATACACTACACTATACAAAACATTGCTTTTTTCAACCTGAGAAGCAATACCAAACATTTTGGTAAGGTCCACTTTTATAACATAAGCTGTGGTATAGGTGGGGGGTTTTGGTTTGGTTTGGCTTTTTCCTTGTTTGTTGTTGGGTTTTGTGTGGTTTGTTTTTGGGTTTTGTGTGATTTGGTTTTTTTCCCTTTTTTTTTTTTTTTTTTTTTCTTTCAATTGCTCCATCATACAGGATCTGCATTATTTAATTCCCAAACTAGGCATGCAGATATAAAAATGTTAGCATCTACTGAGCTGCACATGGGAAAAAAATCGCCATAAGCCGGGATCAGAAGTGCATATAAGACGATGAACTTTCAGAGCTTTTGAAAACAAAGGCCAAGTCCAACATAAAATGGTCCAATAAAATATTTGATTTTAAGGCTAAGGATAAGGGACTGAGCTGAAAGTTGCTGTAACTGAAAGTACTCCCTCCCCTGGCCAAAGCATTTAGCTTTCCCGTGCTTCAGTGTCATCATCTATAAAAGGGATGATTTGTAATCCATCCTCCTTTGCACATTATTCTGAGATCTATAACTTGGCAGCGTTGTAGAAGCTGAAGTGATATTTTATTTTGGTGAATATATAATGATATATAGGGGATACTATTTAAGCTGCAGTAATGCCTCATGTTGAAATGCCTTGTCTGTATATGAATACCACAGTGTTATGTTTTTTTGCCTCAAAGCACTTTGATTAATTGAGCTTCTTACCACCACTCAGGACAAGATTTTTTTATTCCCATTTTGCAGATTAAAAAAAATTAAATAAGCCTTTACAGTTTAAATAAAAAAGACAGCTACGGTTAAAGCAAAAGTTTCTGAAAGCAAGATTTCCATCTTCATATTCTGACTTGATACAGCTATAAAAATATAGCCATATTTCAAGTTAATTATTTTTATGAATTTAGAGTTAAATATCTTGATACCAGGCTTGTGCTTCTAGTCCTAAATACAGAGAGCTGTATGTTATTACGTGCAGATCAAAACAGAATTTTGAGAACACAAAAAAAAAGGTGTTTCATTTTTCTGTGATTTTTACAGTCTAAATCCATTTTTATAGTCTAAATCCAGGATAGCTCAGGCCATCCCTGTGATATTTTAAGGAAAATCTTAAGCCAAATCTCCAGTTTGCTGTTGCAACAGCTTCCTGGAAAGGACCTTCTCTACATGAGAGCAGTACAATCCAACCAAACACCCACTCTTTATCAGTGCCTTTCCACAATGAATTAATTCCTTAATCACCTTCTTGAAGGCCAGAAAATGGCCCCATATGCTGACTGTTCAATTCCTTTTCTAAGAATATACATATATACTAAAAGAGTACTTGCCATGGGATGCATGTGTCAGAGGGGCATTTTGTGCTGGGCTAGAAGACAAGGTGCAGCTCTTTTTGTGTGTAGGTGTTTTTCTTTGTGCTGGAACCTTATCTCTGAGCACTGGATACGCACAGCTTTATATATGCTAAAATGTAAAGAAGCCAAATAAATGTGAGGAATGCCTACAGAATCACAATTTCTGAGAAGTCAGAAGTCCTACATTAAGAAAAAGATATTTCACACTATCTTAATGATCAATTTAGCCTAATGTTAAAGCCTGGGTCTGTTGACACTTGTGATGGAAATTTATTTTTTCCTTCTTTGCCTCAGAACATAATTCCTGGCTTGCATTGCTTAATAATGTATACTGAAAAAGGAATATTCCTTGACACCGAGAGAAGCTTGTGGAAGCCCCTGGAAGTGTTCAAGGCCGGGCTGGGTGGAGATCTCAGCAGTCTGGTCTGGTGGAAGGTGTCCCTGACTATGGCAGGGGGTTTGGATGGTCCCTTCCAACTGAAACCATTCTATGCTTCTGTGATTCCATTATTTTCAGGGACAGGTGTGTTATAAATGAAAATTTGTCCAGCCAAATTAAAAATGAAAAAATAAAATATTTATTTGCAATCAAATTCTGTCTAGCCAGCCACAAGGAAAGAACAGAGCCGAGCCCGGGGTTGGCCCTGGGTGTACAACAAAGAGGTCAGCCTCAGCAGAGGTTTTCCTCTATGCCCACACGCTTCCATCCTGGCACAAGCGGTTTTTATAGGGAAAATTCCGCCTGAGGCTAAGATTTTCTTTTTTGGTGATGAAGAACAATTCAGTGTCAGGAGTTGGTGAATCTCTTGATGAAATTTACGGGAAGCTGCATTCACATGTATGTGCCCGAGAATTTCCATGATATCCATCTCGGGTCCTTCACGCGACGATCAGCGCCCGGAGGCCCATCTCCTGGCCCAGCCACATCCTTTTACGTGTAAATCAGGTTTCAACATACACAAATCAGGTTTCAACATACACCAGGTTTCGCCTGCGAGGGTGGGGAGGAGTACTAATACAAACGTGTATACTCCAACAAATATTCAATATCACATATATAATATTAGAAATGGCGCGAATTACATCTACTACACGTAACAGGTGGGTGAAATTATATTTAAACAATTGTACTCCTCATTATCATCAATTAAATTTTACTGGTGTCAGAAAAAGTGAACACAAGTTCTTTGGACAGAAAACAATTAGGAGCAACAGAAGCTCCTTAAAAATTCTGCGGAGCAAGGACTGATTTCTAGTTTAAACAATTTAAATTAGGCACTGTCATTTTAACCACACTGACAGGGTTAGCCTTTGGTTTGCGATCCACTGAGCAGCACAAACCCATAGCGACCTCCGAGTGCTGCATCTGGCTGGACAGATGTACGGGAACAAGCACCGCGGCAGGCGCTGCCCCGCGGCTCAGCCCCGCCGCCGGCGCCCTTTCCCGGCGGACACACGGGCGGCGCCGGGCAGCACGGAGCGCCAGGCGGCCCCAGGCGGCGACAGCCGCTCCGCGCCTCGGACAAGGGAAAATGCGGGCGAGGAGAGGGGGAGAGAATAGCGGAGTGGAGAAAGGGGAGGGAGAAGAGGGAGGAGGGAACGTGAAGGAGGGAGAGGATGAAAGGGTGAGGGAAGAGCGTGTGGGGAGAGAAGAGAGAAGGGAAGAGAGGGCAGGAGGGAGGAAAGGAGGAGAGCCGGGGAGAGGGAAAAAGGGATAGACGAGGCCGGAGGGGAGGGTGGGGAAGAGCGGTCCCCGCCACTCCCCGCCGCGCCGCGCCTCACGCCGGCCGGCCCGCCCCGCTCCGGGCTCCCTGAGGGCCGCGCGGCCCCGCCCCCGGAGGGCGGAGCGTCGCTCGCGGCCCCGCCCCGCTCCCTTTGTGCCGGGGGCGCGCGCGCCAGCCGCAGTCGCCGTCGCTTCCCGCCAGGGCAGCGCGCGCCCGCCCGCTCCTCTTCCCCCTTCTCCCTCCCCCATTCCTTCCTATCCGCTCTCCCGCTCGCCATGTCGCTGGGAGCGGGCCCCGAGGCGGGCTTCTCCAGCGAGGAGTTGCTGACCCTGCGCTTCCCCCTGCACCGCGCCTGCCGCGATGGGGACCTGCCCGCCCTGTGCGCGCTGCTCCAGAGTTCGCCTCGCTCCGACCTGGCGGCCGAGGATTCCTTCTATGGCTGGACGCCCATCCACTGGGCCGCGCACTTCGGCAAGGTGGGGCCTGGCTGGGCTCAGCCGGCGGCGGGAGCGGGGGTGGGAACGGGAAGGAGAAGGAGAAGGGGAAGGAGGGCGCGATTCCCGCTCGCGCGCAACGCGGCGCCATCTTTGCCCCTAGCGCGCGCTGTGCCGGGAGGCGCCGCCGCCCCTCCACCGCCTCCTGCCGCTCCTCAGGGAATCGGGCGGGACGGGAGCGGACAGCCGTGCCGCTTGGCTCCGTTCCTGTCCCCGCGGTCAGCGAGGCGTGGGAGGCGCGGGTCACGGGGCTGGCGGCACCTGCCGTCTCGGCATCACTCATCCCACCCCCGCTGCCGGCGGCAGCCGCCCCTCTCCCTCCCCGGTGCTTTCCCCGGTGCCAGCGGCGGGCTGCCGAACGGCGCCTAGGCCACCGGCACGGGAGCGAATGATGAGGAGCAGCCGATCCCCGCGGACACCCCCGGCGGACGCCGGCCATGCGGGCTGGAGGCACCGCCGCGGCACGACCTCTTCCCCGCCCTCGGCTGAGCCGCCTTCCATGCCGGCGCTCCCTGCCGGGGCGCTGCGCGCTTTGTCTGCGCGGGCTGGTCGCGCTCCGCGCCGTTCTCGGGCTCCGCGCCTGGAGACCGCTGTGTTGTGGTGCCCGTGTTATGGCAACCGGCTCGGTAGGAGTTCGGGTAGAAGGTACTTGTTGTGCTTGTAAGGCGCTCCCCTTTTATCTTCAGTAGGAAAAATAAATTGCGGTTCACACGTATGGAATTTTCTGCATTGGCGTCGTTGCATTGCAAAAAAAGACCGAAACATAAGAAGTAGCTACGATAACTTCACATCATAGAATGAGTGGTATTCTAATTTCTCGATTTTAATATATGCGTTTCCTGTTGCAGTATCTCAGACTATGCAGGATTCTAGGCTAGAGGGTTGGAATCTGTTTTTTTTTCCTCATTGATTTGCCTGAGTTCAGAATTCGAGGGTCTTTTGTTCTTGTTCTCCCTCCCATTTCTCATATACTTCTATTTGCTTATTGGTTGTGTGCCAGAGGAGGAAGATTGATGTACTTAGGCAGTTGTCATGGTTTGTTAAAGGGCATTAGGAGATGATTTCTGTAGGTTATGTTATCTTACCTACAGCTGCTTTTTCGAAAAGCTTTTAGAAGCAGCTTTAGCTAAGTAGTCTTCCAGTCCTAAAACAAAGGAAAACAAAAAACTCTAAACCCACAAAATTCAAAATGTAGCGTAGTCTTTTATCTGTTGAGAAAGAAGCTAATAATCTGCGCTCCGAAAAAAGTGCAGTGCCTTTATTTTCCTTGTGAAGTGCACTCGCAGGAAATATTAAGGTGCTAATTTACTAATTGGCCTAACAGTCTTCTGTTTCTTTTTTCTGTCTTGTAAGAATTTCTTTTCAGTATGAGCTTCTAGCAGTCTTGCTTTTGTAAGGTAGTAGTTATTGGATTATTGGATATAGATTTTGGATAGCATATGTGCTATTTTGTTTTTTCCTTTAAGCATCTTCAGCTTTCTGTTGACGATCCTAGGTAGAGTGAGCTTTTGTGTGCATTCCAGTTTCTGTTGAAGAGAGTCTTGGGGAAATAGGAAACAAAGGGAACAAGTCGGCCTGGAGCATGTTGTACTTGTATTTGCTATTTTCTTTTCTTAGGTATGGGCAAAATTTGATGGGTGGTGGTGTCGCATATTGGGGAGAAATCTGACAGATTAAATGGGATTTACAAAGGTGACATCAGCTGTAGAATTTTGTTCATATGTTTTTTCCTAAAAACCATCAGATCTAGGCAGCAATTTATGGATGCTACCTACATACTTTCTAGTTAAGTTAAGTTGTGTTCCCTTCTCAGAGCCAAAAACTGCACAGCACTTTGAAAAAGTTACATTAGTGTAATTGGATCCCAAACCTGACTGGCTTTGTGTTTATGTGGCATAGTTACACATGTACCTTTCACCAGTTAGCTGAGTGTTGCCAGCAGTGACACCGGAGCTGCTCAGATACATGTCTTACATTCATATGTATGGCATTTTTCTTTCCCAAATTCACATTCATCAGAAGGAAATGGAAAATTCTTCTGTTTCTCTAAGTACCACAGTTTTCAAATGTTAATTTTTGAAGTGTTGGTTAACAGTTACTGAACAGGTCTCTTTCTCTTCACTTCTTTGCTTTTCTAGATTTTGCGGGTTTTTTCTTTTCCTGAAAGAAATTATGTGATGACAGAACTTCATGTCTACCTGATATAAGGCCAGGTATTAACATGGTCCACCATACCATTGCTTCTCACTGGAGCTCTGTAGGATGCTGAAAAGACAAAATTGATTTAATTATTTTCTGGAACTGCCTGTGAGCAATTAAACTAAGCCAGTTCATATATGTACACACGTGTGCCTGCACACACAGCAGGAGTCCAGGTTTGGTGAACTTTAAAGAGAATTTTCTTCCCCTCTGCCCGTGGCACAGGTTGAACATGGAAGATGGCTCTCCCTGCATCAAAGGGCAGTGCAGAAGGATTTTACAGTAAATTATGTAGAGCTAAATTCTTGCATGCAGTTGTAGATATGCTTCAGGAAGGAAGTAGTAGCAAGGGTCAAGTTCATTATTAATGAATATGTGAAGGAGGAAAGGGGGCTTATGGGGGAGAAAATACTGGTGTAACACCAATACTGGTAAATATGGGGTCTCTTACAACTAAAAGCGAAAACACAGAATGCTTAAATAACTTTCTCTAAAACACACTGCTACAGTTTGCAGGTAATACTTAAAATACCAGCAAAGTCAATTGGGTGTGATGGATATTGCAGCTCCTGTTTCTAGTTCTAATATCTGGGCATTTAATGACAGTATGGAGCTCATTTTAGAGATAGTAGCAGGTGCAAGTTTACTTGCTGTGTTGAGTACCTTTGGTGGAGTTTGCATTTTCAGGACATTCCCTGACTGGAGAAAAGTGCTTGTCTGCGATGTGAATTAATTCCCATTAGAGTTTCTGTATTTTAATTGGAGTTAATTATATAGTGCCCTAAATTGCACTGGTATTCCACAGATTTCCAAGAAGATGGGTCAGAATGTAAAAATGCTAATAGTCTTAAAAAAGCTACGAGAGAGGTAGAAAATACAGGGCTTGCATAAAAAATTTATCTTTATTTTAATTCACTTTATTTTGGAATAACCTTAATTTTCCCTTTAATAAGCACTTGCAATTGAATTTTTATTTTCTCTGACCACATCTCTTTGCTTGTGCTCTTCACCTGCTTTTGTTTTTTTTTGTCATTTGACTGTTTACATTATAGGAAACAAAATAGTAGTAAATATGTTCTCTTTCTTTTGGAACAAAAGTGGTAGAGATAAACATGCATGTCTTCTGCTTGGTATTTTGCCAGTGTTGTGGCCTGTATATATAGGAGGCCTGTCTTTATTCAGGACATCAATTTAATCTCTGCTTTACGTTGGAAAATATCTACTGTATTAAATTTAGGTTATTTAATGAAAGTGGACCTGTGTATCCTGATCTCAAGAATAAATGATCAAGTGAGGTATTGTTTTTTGTCATGTTGACTTTTCCTCTTTGTGGATGGAATTAATCTTGTTCTTCCATAATGTTTGAAGAAGCAGGTTTTTCTGACAGCCGTGATACAGAAGATCCATACTCAAGCTTTTAATGGGATTAAATATATTCATAGTTAAAGGCTGTACTCTGAAGCCAGAGTATGCAAAAAAAAAGAAAAACAATGTTTAAAAATGAAGTTGCATTGATAATCATGGTGTGTGGCCATCTTAGATTTAAGCAGTGCAGGATAGTGCTGGTGAATCAGTTTGTGTTTGTTCCTTTTCAGTTGATGTGCTGTAATGCCTGTCTAATTAAGGAATTCTTTCAGTCTGGTGCCTGTGCAGGAAATATTATTCTTTCCTGATGCTGTAATGCTTGTCTGGAAGTATTTTCAAATGAACTCTATTAATGTAATAAAGTATATTGTTCTAAAAACTGGCTGAAATTTATTTTTGCCTTCAGTTACCACAGATTAACCTCTTGGTGTAGCTGGAGGGGTGTTTTCCATCACATGACTTATTAATAAGGTACTAATATGCCAAGATCATGGAAAATCTTAGATTGGCAAATAAAAAATGTAGTTCAGCAGTCTAGCTATAAATTATAGTCTAGTTATAAATTTTCTTAAGTTATTGGATGTGGGTTTTTTCCCCAACAAAAGTGCTTGTTTACTTTTGAAAAGGTACTTTGGCCATGTTGTTTATGGAGCTAGATTAATTATTATGCAATATTCCAGTTTCCTCACCCTTACTTCATGCAGATAGTGAGTTCCTGGTACAACTGTGTCCAGCCTTAACTCCATTACAATACAAAAAATTACTTCTCTATATCTCAAAGGATAGATTTCACATGTGTTTGAATTATATGGGGGAAGGAAACAGATGAAGTTGACAATGTATTTGCAAAGCTATTATAAAATACTTAATTACAGTGGTTGGTACTTTTATCTCACGTGTAATTCAGCAAGATCAGGAATTTGCAGGTTAAGAGAGGGAGAAAGACATACAGCAACAGAGAAGAATGTTATAATCCTGATGTTGCTGCTTCTTGCCGAGTCAAGCTGCCAGCTCACGTTCAGATGATTTTAATTGCTCCTTTATGGACGGGCTGTTCCACAGCTGTGGTGTGGCTGATGTTTTCTTTAATTGTGCTACACTGGGACACCCACAGATTTGTTTTATATGAACCAATGCCTGAAATATGGTGTAAGGGTCTTTGTTCTGCTGTTGCATTTGTGTGCAGTGGTATTTGTTTTCTATCCACGGTAAATGGATGCCTAGACTAAACTGTTTATTTCAGCATAGTGAGTTTCTTTTCATATCAACAAGACAATGTTGCTGTGTGACAGGAAAAGGAGTGTTGTTTTGTCTATTTTTGAAACTTGAGGTCATCGTAGCCCTGGTTTGCCTAGTTTCTACAAATGAGAAGTTATGAACCTTTAAAAATAGCATCTGGTTATCTGACACTTCTAGTTAGTATGATAGGAAAAAAGCATAATATAATTTGACAATTACTACAATTTTTTAAAACAAAAAAGGCTTTTATTATCTTTGTGGTGCCACAAACAAGCAGCCTGTTTCATTTTTAACAGTTTCTTACCTGAAGTAACAAGAAAATGGTGGAATCAATTTATTCCTTTTATAGATTTAATATATATATATCTTCTTAATTTTCTTGACTAATCTTCTGTCACTCCAAGAATACATTAAAGAAATTAAAACTATTTTGGTTTTGTGATCTAGCTTTACATAAACTCTGCTGAGAGTGTGAGTCCAGCATCTATGTATCTCCTAACAACACTTTTGTTTTGGCAAATGTTATCTAATAATATCTGGTTAGTATCATGTTTGCTGGATCAGAGCTCTCCCCCTTTTTTTTCGTCTTTCTTTCTTCCCTTTCTACCGTCTTGACAAAAGTGAACTGAATATCTCTTGTAGTTAGGATTGAAGTGTTTGTCCTTTTTACTGTTTTGTGAAATTAAAGGTGAAATTCAGCTTTGGAGGTGAGAATTAAGTACTTCTCGGGTATGTTCTATGACTGAGTGAGGAAGGAGTGAAGGAAGAGGGAGGAAATCTTAAATTTCATATTCTGTCTTGTTTTTCATTCATGTAGTCTTACTAGTAAGTTTAGCTCTTCTAGGTTTTATGTGTTTATTTAGCACATGCTAATTGTCATAGCACATCTGTGTAACATTTTTGGTTTTATTTTCCCTCGTATCTTTAAAGCTGGAGTGCCTAATGCAGTTAGTAAGAGCTGGAGCGTCTGTAAATGCCAGTACAACACGTTTTGCTCAAACACCAGCCCACATTGCTGCTTTTGGAGGACATCCACAGTGCCTGAATTGGTTGATTCAAGTTGGGGCCAACATAAACAAACAGGTATGGATTAATGTGTATTTCACATATGCATATAGTTCTGCAAGGAGTGTCTTGATCCCTTTTTATGACATGTATGAGCCTTACATTAACATACAGATGCTTCATTTTTCACATCAGCTGAAGTCAAATGACTTATATATCAGTTACAGACATTTTACATTGCAGTAGGGGTAGGGCTAATAAATGTCCTTTAAGCCTCTAGGGGTTTGGAGGATATTTGTTTTAGGAATTGACATCTTGCTGCTTCTTGAACAAAGTGGTAATGTTGCCTTGGTGTTGGCAGCATTAGCAAATAACTCTGATATTGTAGAGCTGCTGCAGGGGCAAGAAAAAGGCTAGTGAGGAACATAATAAATATGATAAGAATCGAAAAATTTACCATTACGTACAGAACCATGAGACCTTTGTGGTGCTTCATGATTTACTCATACATCTAGCTAGTAAGAGCTGCCTGGATTTATTTTAAGGTGCATCTGGTTTTATGTTGCTTTTCTTTTAGATTATTTCTAAAGCTTTCTAATAGCTTTCTGAAAATAAATGAGAAACATATACTTGACTAACAACGAATGAATAGGTGATTTTAAAAGTTTTTTTTTTGCCCCCCCTTTTTTTTTTTTTACAATAACTTTCACTAGTTTTAGGTGAGTATGTAATTTATTTGGTAGTAGAAAGTGCATTAATATAGCAAAATTCCTTCAAAGGAGTACTGTACTCTGGTAGAGTAACAGAATCAATACTTAAAAACTATTATCATGTTTTTGAGGAAAACATTTAAAATACTGAATGAATCTGTCATGTATGCTTGTCATACATAACATCCTTTTTAATGGTAATCAAAAGTATTTTTAATAATATTCTGAGAGTAATTAATACTACAGCATATGCTGTTGTTAAAAGCTGTGGTATAACACAGCATCCCTAAAATGTCTGGCCTGTTAAATCTTTCGTTATACTTTTCTTAAAGTATTTAAGGGCCAGGCTGCATTTTATATGCAGTAGAGTTAAGCTAATTCTGCTGAAGAACTAAAACATTTGCATTTCTAGAGTTTGGTTCTTTTTTTTTTTTTTAAGCTGTGCAAAAATAAGAAATGGGGAAGTTTGTGTTGAGTTTTCAGAAAAGAAGTCTGGTGCATTGAGAACAGCTGTGAGACACCAGGAGAATTGTAGAAACAATGAAGGTGGCTGGATGCAGAGGCTATAGATCGCATCTTCTCCTTGATACCTGACAAAAGTAACTTATGCCAAAAGTTATTGCTGCATAGTGGTAGAATCTTCAGAAGAGAAAATACAAGAACTATAAATGCATCTGGAGACCAGGTAAGATTGTAAAGAAATGGTGATTAGAGAGGAAACGTGGCATGCACAGAATAAAGGTATACAAATAACTGCTAAATGAGAAGAGAAGAATGAATGAAAGTGAATGAATGCGAAGAATGAAAGTTTCCAGCTATGAGGATAAAGAGAAGATCTGACCAGTGAGATTGAAATGGAGTTCAAGAACAAGCTTGATGTCCTGGAACATGATGAGGGGGAAAAAAAGTCACGAGTAGTGAGTGAGGTTGTAGCAAAGAAGAAAGTAGCAGCTAGCTCCCAGAAGAAGAGAAGAGTGTGGAGAGATCTCTCCATGGGCTGAGGGCAACATGCAGATGACTGTAAAAGAAGGCAGAAGACAGTATAATATGCAGTTAAAAATGGGCAGGAGACTCATTCCAGCTTAAAGAAGTTACTAAGGCAAGCCAGTGACTTAGGAGTCTGTATATTGCTGGCTTGTTGCCGGAGCAAATGGTCCTCCACATGGTCAAGTTCTCAGATAGTGATGACAGTGTCTTACAGACTTCTAGGGCAGACTGAGGCAGTGACAGACCACGGACACAGCACAGATGGGTGCTGAGAGCTGACACGGTGGGTGCCTTGTATGTCATTAATGCTAGGCTCAAGTTACACTTGAATGTAGTAACTTTTTTTTGCACCCACAAAATACTAATTGAACATTTGACCAGAGGTATTTTAAACTCAGTTCAGTGACAAAATAAGATACCTCTGCTTAATTAAAATGGTAGTAGAAACAAAAAAAGTCTCTTAAGTTTGTAGGCTAGAACTGGTCAGTTGCACTGTTTTCTCATGCAGGAGCACTGAAAGCTAGGCAGTGTGCCTTGGTGAGAACTAAAGCAGAAAACTCATCCCACAGATAGTTGGAATGTTTCATTCATGGCTATGTAAAGCACAGTGCATGCTTTGCTATCCCCAGTTCCCTCAGCTGTTTATTGAATTGCAGTCAAATTCTATTGTTCTTGTTTGATTTGAGTGCCTTAAATGATCTCTGTTCCTTATTTAACTTGCAAGCACTTTTAGATGGTCATCTAGGGCTTCCACCCACACTTTTGAGCTTTTGGAGCACTATTTCCTGATGTGTATTTTGTTTATTCCTTCCAGCTCGCTGACTGATGCTGTACTCCAAACAGACATAGTCACTGGCTAATGCTTGTGTGAGGACAAGTGTTCCATGGACACTGGATACAAAACATATGCTGAGAAAGATCTGGGAATACTTGATATTTAAACTAGTAAACTTTTCCTTCCAAACTGACTTCTGGTCATTGGCTACAGACTAACCCTTCACTTCTGGAAAAAGAAAAGGATAGCTTCTGAAAAGGAATCCACTCGAGTCTCTCAGTTTTACAGTAAACCTCCGGTACTCAGTAGAATTTGCATGCGTGCTTTCATATCTGCCCTGAGGTATTGTATTGTAGCTCATGCTGCCTGCCCTGAAGTTTAGGAAAACTTAAACATGTCTTCTCTTGTTGCTGGTGAGAGTTGTCCAGGACACTTCTCAGGCAGTGGCTATGAAGGACAAATGCTGAAAACTGCTTGTCCCAACTTCACTTTTCTCCCCAAATAAATTATGTGAATATATCCTGTGATGCCCAGCCCTCTTATGTAACTGTATGCGCTGGCTAGAATCACATCTGTCTCTAATCAGTGGGCAGTTCCTTGCTCCCAGGATCACCATATAAAAATACACAGGAGGAAAGCTGAAGTGCCAAGCAATGGTCTGTTTCTACCCATCAGTGTATTCAAGACAATGTCCTACTGTTTCAGATTTTTCTTTTTTTTCCCCTCTGTGGGCTGTGCCTGCTAATAGTGTGACTCAGGATCTGCATTTGGCTACCTGCCTGCTGTAGTTCACTGTAACAGTGCAAAGCAATTATCCTGCTAGTTTTCCTGAGGATTTTTTTTTTCTGATGCTTTATCCTTGTCACAACACAGATTGGTTCTGGGCTGTTGTATATATTAGATACATCAGATAAAAAAGTACTTTCTGATCTAGAAAGCCATTAAATTCATTTAAATATGTTTTCCCTGTAGCCTCAGCTTATTAAACATTTCTATTGTATGTTGCCTTTGTTGATTGGCCAAAAAAAGTGTTGTGTGAGCTGTCATAAAGGGAAGGGAAAAGAAATGCTGTGCTCTTACAGGGGATGCAACTTACTATATGTGCAGTCAGTTCCCATCATATGCCAGTGGTGGCAGATCATTTTAGGAGGGTTAGACTACCCATAGGAGCAAGAACTGTAAATAGGCTGATACCCTTGGGAGGAAGAAAATATTCTTTGGTTGTATTACAGTTTTTATTTTAAACAATGATTAGGTGTAAATCCAGATAAAAAGATTCTGTAAGTTCTCATTTGCACACAAAAGCCTTTTTAGCAAAGGAGGAAAACTATTCAGTGTTCTCTAGTTTCTACTTTCTAGATTCAGAAAGGATGGGATACAGGTTCTAAGAAATGTTAGAGATGAGTAGTGTTTAGAAATGTGATCATCTGCTAGAGGACTGAAATTCAGTCAGCTGAGTTAAGGAATGCAGTTAGTTTGCATTTCTTATCAAGTAAGGGCTTCTGTGTCTTAGTCAGGTATCACTACTAGAAGTATTTTAGAAGTGCCTGCACCGTGTTGAGGTTTAACCCCAGTGGATACCTAAGCACCACACAGCTGCTTGCTTGTTCCCCCACACAGTGAGGTGAGGGTGGGAATCAGAAGGGAAGTGTGAGATCTTGTGGGTTGAAATAAAGACAGGTTAACAGGTAGAAAAAGGAAACACAAAAATAAATCCAAGAAAATCAAGTGATAAAACATTTTTAAAACCCTCAGAGCACAAAAAGCTTTGTTGCTCACCACTACCTCACTGATGCCAGCCAGTGTTGGAGCAATGGCAGCCCCAGTTCTACTTGATGAGCGTGATGTCATATGGTATGGCATAATCCTCTGGTCCATTTGGGTCAGTGGTCCCAGCTGTGGCACATCCTAGCTTACTCCCAGCTAGAACATTGGTGTATTAAAAACATTTTGCTGGTCACAAGCCCAAAACCAGGTACTATGAAGAAAATTAACACTAATCCAGCCAAAACAGTATACATAGTTGAAAGCTTTCAGTCTAAATATGTGGGGGAGCTTTTTATTTTAAAAATAAATTCCTGCAAGTAATTTGCTTTTGGTTGGGTGGGTTGTTTTGGTTTTGGGGGGTTTTTTATTTATTTTTTTGTTGTTGTGTTGGTTTGGTTGTTTTTCAGGTTTTTTTTTTTTTGTTGGTTTGTTTGGGGGTTTTTTTTGCTAAATGGAAGCAATGTAAAAGTACCAGTGAGTGAAATCAATTGAATCACTCAGGGACTTGGAGTTTGGAGAACCAAATAGGAAATGTGCTCTGAATTCGAGTGGACCATCCTCAAGCCAACAGAATTCGGGTCCCAGAAAGACACAAGGAGGAAAAATAGAGTAAAAAAAATGGCATTAGATTGAATTGAAAAAAATACCCATACATGAAAGAGGCCTGGGAAGAGAGTTTGAGAAAAGTATTTAATCAATAGAGGAAGTGTCTTTTGAGGTTAAGAGCATAGTGAGGAACTGGAAACTGATTACAAACTGAGATAGGTTTACTGATTAAAGCCAAAAAAAGCAAAACACTCTTCAGCCACATAAATAAAAAGATTATAAGGAAGGAAGCTAGATGTTTATTCAGTAAAATGAACTAGAAGTCAAAGGTAATCTAGTTATGACCCCAAGCTAGAGAAGACTGCCCTTGTCTGTCTGAAAGGGTAGCCATTCCTTTCCAAGGGAAAGGAGTAAGGCATTCAACAATGGTTGGAAAAACTAAACGTGTCTGTGATGGTTCATGAATTTTTTGCCATTTCTTCAAGAGCACAAAATATTTAGTAACGACAGAACCAATCAAATGTATTATATTCTCTTGAATGCTAAATTAATTAAAATTAGTTTGAGTATTTACTCATTTATTTATGATGTGCCCTCTAGATTGGGAGACAAGTTTGGGCTGCTTGTGCAATGTTGCAACAGAGGGACAAGTTCTGCTCTAGTTAAGAAAGGCCAGTACAAGTCATTGATGCTTCTCTTCCTGGAATATTGTTACAAAAGGGATTGCATGAGACTCAGGATGGGAAGTGTGACCAATTTAAAGGACTATGAGGTGTTATCAGAGGTAATGAGGAATTAATAGAGCTTCTCAAAATAAAATAACTTCTTTTGTGAGATAAAAGAGATAGAGAAGAATTATCTTACATCAGAGAATGTGCTGATGGGCTGTACCCTGAACTGCTCTCAGAAACTTACTGGAAAAGAATGTTACTTTGTTTTCTGTTTGGTCACATTCATTTCAATTGTTGAATCAAAACAATTGTTCTGAGACTTACGCAGAGTACTTTTGTTTTCTTCTGTAAGCATTGAAAAATTTAAAAGCCATCTTTCAGTGGGATATGTTTTTTCTACGTATATTTCTTTTCTATTTAGTCTAACTTATAATCTAGAGAGAATTTCTGAGGAGAGCTAGGAAAGTGTTTCAGTGCAAATATATTTGGCCCCTTAGGAGAATTTCAAAGCAACATAATAGTAGGGATGACTGAAATTTGGGTGCAGTAATTAAAAGTAATGCAATAAAAGTCTAAATCTGTGTATTCTATAATTTTTAAAGCATTTTTTTGAATTCTTTAACTTTAGACACATGGTTTTCTGGACCGGTGATTAAAAACAGCCCTTCTCAAGACATATATTCCCTTCTTTAATACTAATCTTTTGTGTTTGGTGATGAAAGTGGTGGCTGCTATAAGCTTAGCTCATTCTTCTAATGAATGCTGGGGAGTCCTTTTGCAAAGGTCTTTTCTCATCCTTTTTGTGTTTCCCACAGCAATGTTGGAATTCAGTTCTCTAGATATAATGGGCAGTGTGCCAGGTTTATAGGGCTAGGGGAGTTTTTGTTATCTCTGTCATATGCATGGCCAACTAACCCTAACCTGAACTTCATATTGGGTGATTCTCTTGTAGCTTGGGCTTGTAGGTACTAATGCTGACCAAAAGCGGCAAGTCACTTACTTTCTATACTTTGACCTCTTTAACAAAAGAGGGGAGGGGAGGACACAGTAACAGAATGATGAATAGAAGACAGCTTTTATGACTGGAAAATTTATTACCCAAAGAAATCTTTTCTGGATAAATTAGCCTTGAATAAATTTCCATGTATGATAGTTTAAAAAATGATATTCTCTCTTAAACTTTTTTCTCTTCCTGTTACTTCAGGGGAGGTTACAAATAGGAAAAATTTGCATAAACTTCATTGGAAAGCAGTCTTCTATCCATCAGCTGTAGACATCCACTTTGGAAGAAGGGCTTTATAAGCCCTTTTCTAATCTCTAAGATTTTTGCTGCTCTTTCCTGGGCCCAAACTTTGTCAGCCTCATAGTTCATAAGAAAGTAAACTTTGGTGCCATTAATTTTCCCTGCTCGGTGTGCTGGGAAGTTCATTGTTTGGCTGAATATATGTCTTAAGCACTGTTAAGCTGGGTTACCCTCAGTTAATTTGTAATTTGTTATAAAGGTATTTCACCATGAAATAAAATTGTCAAGTAGAAAATTGAGAATACATACCTCATATCCAAAATTCATTTTCAAGTTATACTTACATGGTCTAAAAGATAGGATTAAATTTCTCAAAAGCTTGGCAGATGATTTAAGACACTTAGTAGCTTCTAGGTACTGTGAAAATATTTTGCGTATATTCACATTTCAAGTAGAAGCTAAAGTCTAGCCAGTACTGTGGAGTTAGGCATGAACACTGTTGTGTGTAAACACTGGTGAATCAGTAAAGGTGCTATGTTGATTTAATAGGTAATGTTGATATTTTAATAAAAGGAACAGGGAAGCTAAACTGAGGCACATACAGTTAGAACATGTTTAATATCTGGAGCAGACTAGTGAAGTCCGTCAAAAGTTTGGAGACAAAAAGAAGGGGGAAGAAAACAAAGCCAAAAAAACAAACAAAAAAACATACCCTTGCTACACTGTGGAAGTGTTGAGGATGAATCACATTAACAGACCAGTAAAACCATTTACTTGGTACTCCAAAGCAGTGTTTCATTGCAGAGTCTTCTCTGTGGTTCTTAATACTGATGGTTAATTGCAAGTACTGAATTTCCTCTGCAGCCTGTAGATCATGATGCATGAATTTACCTGCTGCTTGCTTGGATTTGTAAAATTGTTGTAAATCCTCCCCGTTACCTGTAAGACAGTTAATGGGGAGGAGTTGCCTGAAAAGCAATACTCTACCCCCAGTACGTCTGCACATTTTGCAGAAAAATTAAAGGATTGGATGTGCTGGTTAATAATAATGGAATATAAATTGACAAAGAAAACCAGAAAAGACAGATCTATAGGATGTGAATCAATGTGTATGTGTTGAGAGAGATTTGGCCTGTCCTATGAACACTGGGCATACCTCTATTACAGTAGAGCTCTGCGTATGTGCTCCTGTCCTGCGAGTACTGATGGTGCAACCCTCAAGGACTGAGTCAGTGTGCCAGCAAAGACCTGAAAGCAGCACAGTCCCACAGACTCGGCCTTGCTGCTCCTGAGCTCAAGAGGGCTTGCGCAGTCCAGTGTGTTGGGAAAGGAGTGCCGGGAAATGAAGGTGTTAGAATAACGTGTTACGGTGGTGGATGTTGGGAGGATTAACCAGTTTCCTGAATATGGGTCTGCTGATTGTTGAGCTGTTGGATAAAGCTTATCTTGTGAGTTAAATGCCTTTAATGTTACTTGCTAAAAGTCTAATGTACTTGACAGCCAACTGCAGACTTTAAAGTAATGATCAAGTATCTGATGTATTTGCTAGCTAATAATAAATGCTGCTTTTATATATCTGCTATCTTAATTAATGTAATAGTATTTTAATTTTTAGAAAGATTATGCTTGACAAAATGTAGTTTGTCTTTACAGGATTATGTTGGTGAAACTCCTATTCATAAAGCAGCACGGTCTGGTAGTATGGATTCCATAAGTGCCCTTGTGGCTCATGGTGCGCAAATAGAGTAAGTGAGGTATTTTTTTTGTTCTTGATTGTTGTGTGTGTAGCTTACTAACTTAGATGGGTAAACAGATACTAATTTCAGAATGAAAAGTCAAAACAGCAGACACATGATCCAAATAATAATGACAGCTAGACATGTTCAACTGTAATGAAACCTAAGTTATTTTGCATGTCTAGTAATAAAGTTAATCTTCCTTAAATGATGCCCTTGTGCTACATTAGTGTTGCACATACATCTGATATAGTAAAGTATTTATTGTGCTTCTGTCAGATGACCCAAACTGTACACTTAATTCAGCAAGTAGTTATTTTTTACAACAAATCTACACCTTGCGCTGGTGAATAAATATAGAAAACAATGCAAAAGCAACATTATGTGCAAAACAGCAATTCACACACTTCACCATTAGTTTATTACTGTTTGTTAGTGTATTATGTATTTGCCTTGTTAACTTTTTTCTTTAAAGGTTTATGTACTGCAAAAACATTCAGAAAAGCTCACAAACTTTTGCAACTTACAGCATGGACAAAATGGATGCAGTTTTCACCTAGAATGTTGAGTATAAGCTCTATGGCTTATAAATAATATAAATACTTTAGCAATATATTTAATTAGAACTAGCTTTATTATCTTAAATGGTAATTAGTTACTGTATTTTAACCTGCAGTATGAAACTTTGAAGTTGTAAGTGAAATAATAATCATGTAGTTAATTCCTTGTTTTACCCTTTGGTTTCCATCTTACTACTTTTGTAATGCTGCCTTGATAAATCTACCATAAAATTTAACTCTTTTTGCTGTGTCATAGAGTATTCTGGGAATATGTTGCCTTTAAGTTAATAGTAGTGAACTAATTGCTTTGTATGAAGAGATTTCTTTATAGAAAAATTAAATAAACTGTCTCAGTTATTGGCAAGCACACTAAATCAGTCTTAAATGTATAATTTCCCATTTTTCACTCACTTTTTGATATTCTTAAGATAAACTTGAAATTAAATTTACTGTGGAATTGAGAAAACCTTAATTATCATCATCAATTAGTATGTAATCTTGTGGTTTTAACAAAGTGGCCAACCAAAAGAAAAGTTGTGGAACTGTGTAAACAATGTGAAATGGGTGATACCTGTCTTTGACCAAAGCTATTTGCAGCAGAAGCAGTGTAGGTTTATAGCAGTTTTAATGAACAGGAAATAATGGGAATTCTCAGTTTTCTAACTTTGAATTCCATCTGTGTTTCAGATAGGTAATTAAACATCAGGTCCTATAATGGGAATGGAAAAATCAGGGATGCAAATGCAAAAAGCTTGTGAAGCAACCCAAGTTTAATCATTTAGAGAGTAAGGACTTGGCCCTGTCTCCTGAGGGAGTTAGCTATTTACTGATAGGGGTGAGGATTTTTTTCCTTAGAATCCAGTTTCCTGGTTCAGTATGTTAAATTAGGCCAAATCCATTTATATGTTTTTGACACTGATTAATTTTGGGTCATCTGATTTTGAAAGCTGGCCCTGTTTAATAGTTATGTAGAATTCCCTCGTTTTTGTAAAAATGTGAAAATGTAGATGCTCCGGAAGTTATGACTCCTTTATTTTATGACTTCAGTTAAAAGAAAAGGAGAGGGATTTCAGCCATATATTTGAGTTTGAATTTGTATATATTAACTGAAATTATAATTGACTGATAACTGATTGATAAAACCAAGGCAAGAACTTTATGAAATACGGAACTAAGCACTAACTAGAATTAAGCTGCTGGTCTGTACTGATGATTAATAAGTACTTTCTATTTTTACTGGGGTTAGATCTTCTAATCCATTTTTTTCTTTATTTCTTAGTATAGTTAACAGTATTGGAAGTCTAGTTTCGTAAGGATGAATGAAATATCCCTTGTGACTGCAAATAGTCAAGTATACTACTTTTACATTATATTTGTAATATATGTCCAAAATGCCATCATCCCTAGTTTTTTATAGCAAGTAGAACAGGGATGCTAAGATTTCATTATTACACAAACACTAATAACCACTAATGTAATATTGCAAGAAATGTATTTTTCGTTAATGAGTGATTATTGCTGTTAAGATGAAGTAACTTGGACTAGAGAAATCTTGTTATCAGTATTTACCACATTTCTACTTTATTTCCTCCTTTGGTTATATTGGAAGACAAAGAATATTGATAGTATTCAAGGATAAAAGTAAGAATTTTAGTTTTAATAAAATAGCATCACTTGAATTTTTCTAGTTTACTGTATTTCAGGCTTGCTAGTATATTGCTTTTGCAGAGAAAGATAGGTTGTTGCAGTATAAATTTCATTAAACTGTTGCATTGTTTTCCTAATTGATGAGAGAGAATTTGGGTCTCTATTCCTTTGTAAATTTTTAATAATATTTAAAAATAATAATTGTACCCTAGTGAAAATATTTTGATTTTTTTGTGGTATTTACCTTCTCATTTTAGCTGAAGCATATTCTGTGCACAGTATGTCCTACAGCCATAAAAATGGTTGCTCCACTAACTATGGTATTCATGGACCCTTGAAGAGGGGGAAGCAGGTGGTCACAATGTCCTCATATGAGTGAAAAGGTTTGCTGTGTAACTGACTTTTTAATGTGGATAGTACCTTTTAAATTATCCATAATTACTGCTGGATTTTCACTAAAAGGCATATTAATGCAATTTATGTATGGTTAATTGTGTATTATTTATCATGGTGACAGACAAGTGTCCGCAGATCTTTATAGAGGAAAAGCCTTCTTGGTGCCATGTTTTGTTTTGCTCTTTTGCACTGTTATGTAAATGCTGTATTTCAGTGTAGTTATATAGATTGTATCACAGCATATATAAAAACACAAAATTCAGCTGTAAACACAGGACACTGCTGAATCAAAAAGAAACAGATGCAAGTATTGATTATCCTGACTTATTTCATGTCTGCTTGCATGTGGTGCACTTGTGCATTGTGTCCACTTATCTCTGAATAAAAAAATCTTCTGCAGCTGTCATTTAAGCAATTTTGTATTCCTTAGTGGCTTGATTTGGAGATAAGAGGGAAGTTTCAAACACTGTATTATCCTGGGATAGAGAGAGGTGTAACTAGTGAAATTGGTTGTGGCTTGGTATGCCCCCATCCAATTGAACATAAATTCTTGCTTGCTTAAAGATTTTATTGATCATGATATTTGAGTAGTATTCTAGAAGAGCTTTTTATTTGCCTGCCAGAAATCTTCAGGTTTGGGGTAAATTTGGGTTGTTTACCACGATGGCATATTATGAGACCATAAAGAGACCATTTCCTTTCTAGTTTAATATACTCTGGTCTCAAGGTTTGAGTAGAAGCAGTGGCATGGTGGGATAAATAAAACAGTACATCTGTTTCCACCAGATGACAGATTCATTCTGTGATGTTGATCAGGATTAGACAGACACTTCAGCCACCTTTTTGTTAAAGCTGTTTAGCATTCATCTGAGTGTGTAAATTCAATGCCAGAAACGTCCTATGACTGATACTAAGTTTTTCAGCAAGACCTTTATTCTCATTCTTTGACAGGGAATTACTTAATTTTGTTTCTTCTTTTCAAACTCATGTGTCACAAACTGAATTGCATTGTTGAAAAAGGCAATATTAATATCATTTTTCTTCTTCACAACTGCTCTCCATCTTCCAGAGCAGAAATCTGTCTCCTGTGATTTTTTTTTAGTGCTGCTGGATTAGTCCTTTGTAAAATTCTTGCATTTCTGTTCCACGTGACCACTCTTGTGATAGCTCAGCTTTTATTCTTCTCATTTATACTTTTGAGATTTCTTGACTTCCTGAAAATCAGTCTCCTCTAGTGAAGAGACAGTGATGTGTCCTTTTCATGATAGCACAGAAGTCAGCCATTCCTTTGTGGTGCAAGCCCTCAGTTCCTTTTCAGTCTGGAGGGGAAGCTTACATGGCCTGTTCTCCTGAAGGGTCTCAGGGTTCAGAAATCTCCTGTCTTAGTTAAAGGATATCTTCTTGATTTCTTAAAATCTTAGGAGCTGTTTGCAGGGTTTTAATGTGAGCTTATTTTTCTTGCCAACTAAATTAACTACCAAACTTTTAATATTGAACTGCACTCTGTTTCTGATGCTAACATACTTGTGAAGTGCCACAGCTGTGTCACCTCTTTACTTCAGAAGCTGTGTTACAGCATAGATTCAGTGTAGAAGAACCAACATCCTACTTTCCTACAGTCATTAAATTAACCTCATCTTGAGAGTAATGCTTCACAATCTTACTGATCATTTGGATTTAGGTGCTTTTTCAGCTAAAAGGTTCTTATCTGTTAATTAGTATATTAGTGCTTGTATAATCTGTTTGGTACTTTCCAAACTCAGACCACTTCATACACATTCTTTTTATAAACTGATTGCCTCCAGATACTAGTTAAACTGCTGGATTAATTGCTATTGTTGCATTATTAGACGTTGCTGTATAATTAAGGAAAATTATATGACAGTTTTTGTTTAATTGTATGTAACAAGAATTTTAAGGGCCGTCACTGTAGTATTCCTGTTGGGACTTTTTTCAGTATAGAGGATACAGGTGTTAGAATTTATTCCACCTTTCCCATTTTATATAAATTCTTCTGGGAAGGCAAATTCAAAGTGGCATGTACATTTCAGTGGTGAAACACTAATTCTCCTTCATAAAAACTGCAAGTAAAGCTTGATAATTTCTTCCATGTTTGGTTTCCTGTTTGGTTGCTATGGTTGTAGCAGTACTTGAGGTGGTTTGTAGGAGCTTGTGATTATGAAGTAGGGCAGTAATTTGGATTCAGTGTGAAGAAAAGGTTTGGAAAATACCAAGCAGAATGTATATGCATGGGTTACTGATAAAAAATGAGAAAGGCTCAGTCTTAGAGTAAACCAGTCTGGAAAAATGTCACTTTCAGAGTTACTGACATTCCTAATAATTGCAGGAAGCTGAGGCAAACTCGTACCGCTGAATTCCTGTTCAGTTTGAATGCAGGTTATTCTT